GGCTGCAACAACAATACTACAGCGAGAATATAAGTTACGCCTTCTTTCTTTGCGTGAACGTTTGGGCGGCGTTATGCAAATCTTCCGAGATCGTGACGTAGGTATGTGGGGGTGTGTTAGAACGAGCCGTTTTAGGTAGGCGTGGTTGACTCTTAACTTTTATAAAGAATATCTCTTTGGATTTGAGACTTTAGTCTTTGCAACTTTACAGATCTTCTTTATGCACCAAGAGCTTGTAACACTCCAAAGAGAAAGGAAAAATTGAAATCGCATCATATGACCCCTTTAATAAATACGGCAGCCATTGCAGTTCTGTATTACATATTAAAATTACAACACACAACAATAAACAAATTCAAACGAAGAGTGAATCCTAGATTTTATTTAACAGTCTTTCTGAGCTGTTCCGTCATAGACGTGCTCAAGATATCATCATGCAAGCACAATTCACAAGTTTTTATGTATTTAAGAAGCATGCTGCTTGGGCAGGCTTAAGCAGCTAGTGTCTGAACACTACTGAAGCGTGCAACTTTGTCAGAAAAGGCAGACAATGCCAACAGTACACAATGTTCCCTACTGAAGGAACTCCCCCTATGTGCAGCTGGCCCGAAACGCAGCGTGACCTTTTAAATATTTAAGTGATTCAAAATCGTCGTGACATTTTTCTTTATTCATTTAGACATTTTTATTATTTCTTAAACGTCAAAAATGACAGTGTTTGTGTGCAGAAAACTCAGAATTATGACTTTAAACAACTTGTTCAAGAAAATTACCGACGGCACAATGCAGGACAAAAGCGGACCGTAGCATAGTTGCGGGGAGAGGGGGTGAAAACTCCTCATATTAACACAACAGCGGCTTTAAATAAGTGGATATAATTAATAAACAATTTATATAATTGATTTAAATCAATAGTCTTATAAAGCAAAGGCAAAGTATAATATAAACAAAGTAATAATAACAACAAAACGACTACATCTTGCTTGAAATTTCCCCCATGTAAATATATGGTATCGTCCAAAGACACTTATATCGTCCCGAACCTTATAAGAGTTTGATTTACTCTGATGGACATTTAGATCAGTACATGCTGTAATGAACGTACTGATCATGTATGTTATTCTGGCACACGATTATAAGCTTTATTGCTAAGTTTTATTTTAATGACTGGCTGCCAAATTATAACTGGCCACTTGGATTAACAAAAAAAACGGGAATTTTCGGATTTTTTAACATTGTTGTGCCGTTTTTACTTCGTTATCTTAGATATAACAACCTGACAGTCGTTTACAGTTATTTAACGTTACGATTTACAGTGTTCAAAAGGGCTTAATTCACTTCTGCAACACGATCCATTGTTGAAGAAAGGATGTCATCGTCTGCAGAACCGTTTTCCTACATCGAAATGAGTCGAGTCAGCGCAGCTGGCACTGGTACGTAACTTTATCCATGTATTATTTGCTTCTCATCTGTTTCTATTTGGTGTTTATTCTGTTCAAGTCACTCTGCCTTTGTTCTGGTTCAAACGCAAAAGCTAAGTGTCAAGCGTTAATCTCGGGAACAACAATAACAACATATCAGTGTTCGGTGAAGTTAACATTTGTGAAAGTTAGTTCGGATGCTATAAAAGTGAGTTGATTCAGTCTTGGGCTTTTCATTCGTTGAGTTCTGCATGTCTCAACATGTCACCGCGGAGTTCATTCGGGTCAGCGGAGCAGGAATATCGGGCCACCAAACTACCGTTCCTACTATGGCGAAGCGCTAGCTTATGAATATTAAATAGGCAATGTTGACGTTGCTTGGTAACAGTCCTCGAGCGTCCAATCACTTCACTTGATTAGTATTCACGAGCCTCGCACAGTGTTCAGTTCAGCCAATCGCAGAGGTCCGCTGGTCAACGTAACTTTATGTTGTAAATATTCATAAATCTTAACCTTCTCCATAGTAGAAATCTGCAAGTGAGGGAAATCCTGAACGCTCGTCTGTCCACAGCTATCTCTTTATAGTTGATTGCAGGCGTCATTATAGAAACATACTGTATGTGGTTAACAGTATTACTGATGGGCTGATGAGAGAATAGGCCAGAATAAAGGTTTCCGTGTCAGATGGCCATCTACTTTTCATTACAGAAGTCGTGACTGCCGCTGCTGCTATTCCCTCAGCACACACATTTACATATTTGCCCTATTATATTACTTTTATTGTACTCTATAGTTTCTAATTCAACGATTTGCAACTCCTGTTTGTATTATAATGATGTTATGGATATGTATAACTGACAAAAATGAAACAAAGACGTAACATATAACGAAATATTTAATGTATTAATTCATTTTACAGTACAGCTATTAAATATTCTAATATTCTATTTTACACAGAAAAAAATATTCCTGTTAATGCTTTATGTTTTCTGTGTAAAATAGTTTAAATATTAAATATATTAACTCATTTTACAAGATAAAATTAAATATTATTTTAATACTTTTTATCATATTATGTAATATATCATAATATATCATATCATGAGTTAATTTATATTGAAATATATATTCATATGTTAAATGTATATAAAAAAAACTGTCACGGAAATCATAGACTTTATTGATAAATACATTTATACTAGGGCTGTCAAAACGATTAATCGTGATTAATCGCATCCAAAATAAAAGTTTGTGTTTACATAATATGTGTGTGCGTGCTGTGTAAATATGTATATATAAATAAACACATACATGTATATATTTAAGAAATATTTACATGTTTGTGTGTGTGTGCATATATATATATATATATATATATTTAAATATATACTACATATATTTCTTATTTTTACATGTATGTGTGTTTATTTATATTTACTTATATACACAGCACGCACACACATGTAAACACAAACTTTTATTTTGGATGCGATTAATCACGATTAATCGATTTGACAGCCCTAATTTATACAAAATCTATTAAGATTTTTTTGTATAAATCTGTTTATTCTTTTAAATAATATTTTTTGAAATACAGTAAGGAAAATACTAGATTGTCTCTTTTTAAAAAAAAATTCATTTCCAGTGACTAAAACCTGACAAATTGGCAATTTTTTGTAAAGGGGCTGAAGGTTTTCCAGTAAAATTAGGCCAGAAATTGAACAATTGCTCAACTGTGTGTTCAGTAACCTATTGTCTCACAGTTATGTTTTATGTTTCTTCATCCAGTCATCAGTAGCGACGAACATCTCCTAAGAGAAATGGAGCCCAATGATTTACAGGAGGCAGAGTGGTACTGGGCTGACATATCAAGGTGAGTTTCTTTTTCTTTAAAGTGTTTAATCTTAGTATTTGTTTATTCAATCAATACTACTTGCAGTCAAACTCCATTGTGTGTTGAACCATTAGGGAGGAGGTGAACGAAATACTCCACGGCATGCCTGATGGTGCTTTCCTGGTCCGAAATGCCTCCTGCAAGCGGCAGGGAGAATATACATTAACTGTTAGGTAAGGACTGCATGCTTTAGGATTCCTACTTTTTTGACAGCTGTTAAATGTATTACCAACAGTGGCCAACTATTCACACATGAAGCAGACTTTCGTCCAGAAGGCAGCAAATTGCCAGATATGATTTGTTGGCATTTCACCAATGGGTTCCTTTCGAACATGACTTCTACATGGAGAAATAGCATTGCATTTACAGACAAGGCTGTATCTGTGAAATGCCCACAGGAACAATGGCACCAACAAACTCATCAGGATCCACCATCAAGATGGGAAATTTGGCTTCTCTGAGCCTCTGACCTTCAGCTCAGTGCCGGAGCTGATATCTTACTACAGGCATCGGAGCTTAGTCCAGTACAACAGCTCCCTGGATGTCACGCTGGCTTATCCCGTGTCCCACTGTGACCCACTTCGTACCTTTTCAGTGAGTTGCATTGTGAAGATCATCTTAGTTGAAAGGCACCTTTTGTTTATGCTTTTTTTTTTTTTTCAACAAGTGAACGCCTTTAGTCATTAAACTCATTGCATTTTCAGGATCTGCCTGTGAAGGAAGAGTTTTTGAGTGCAACCAGAGAGAAACTCCAAGAATGTTTAAGACTGTTTCAGAAGACGGCCGAGTATGACCAGCTCTATGATGCTTGCACTACGCTATTACAGGTAAGCAATGGAAAAGGTTCAAATCAGCGTTATTATAGTAGTGTTTTTTAAATTAGTTTATATTTTTATATTATTTTCAACTGAATTTCAGTTTTAGTATTAGAATTCTTCTTCATTTTTTTTTTTTGGTAGTTATTATTAGTTTTTATATTAAAACAATACTATGTAGTTATTATTTTTATTTTATTTTTTATAATTTTTTTTATTAATTAACTTGCTGTACTTAATTACATCATGTACAGTAATTATTAAAAAATAGTAAAACAAAAAATATTTAATAAATAAAAATTATTAAGACAAATATAACTGTAATAAATCTATATACTACATTTATATAGAAATAATATAGATTTAACTGATATTTATTATTTACATAAGGAATGCAAAATGTTCACATAAAAAAAAAAAGTATTTATAATCACTGCCAACTAGGAACAAAAATATATAATGAATATGAACCGAATAACTACATTTAGTTAATTTTGGTTTTTCTTTTTCTTTTAGATTATTTTAAAGGCAGTGATTTAAGTTTTAGTTTTTACATCTAGTTGTAAAAAAAAAAAGAAGAAATGTATATCAAATACACTGCTTTTCTAAGACTTTCCCTGTTGCTTTACAGGAAATCCAAAGGAGAAATACATTTGAGGCCGTCAGTCTGACCGAGATCTCTAAAGAGCAGTGTTATTCTCAAGAGAACTCTTGCAAGGATTTCCAAGACCCAGTCCAGAGTGAGCTGAAAGAGTGAGTGTTCAGATGATCTATATGTTCAAAAGAGCACCAGGGTTTCTCTAGGAATTACGTCTGGTAACGTGATTGTTGAATGTGGCTTGCCAGTGCAAAAAATCAGGATGTTGTTATGTGGATGGTTGGTAAAGTGTCACTAGGCGGTTGCTAGGGTGCTCTTAGTGGTTGCTAGTTCATTCCTATGCAGTGGTTGCACATCCATAAGTCTCCATGATACCGCTTAATTTACAGTACAACACAGAATTTGGCAAATTTTGGATGAATACGTCAAAAGTAGGGCTGTACACTTACTCAAATCATGAAATGGACTAGTGTCTGTGAATATTAAAGCTCAAAAAGACTGCTAATTAAATATGAAGTCTGCATGTTCTGTGTGTCGAATGAGTGAAAACACAAATACAGATATTTTTAATGAAACCCGAGTGCTTTCTATCCAACATTATGACACTTCAATAAGTTAAGCGGTCTTAAGGAAATCCATATGAACCGTGGGGTTTATTCCAAGTCTTTTGAATACACATGATTGTTTTATATGAAGGACACATTTAATTTAGGCTTTCAGCCATCAAAGTTTTGGGGGAATGGACTTTCAATGGAGGGACAGAAATCTCTCGGGTTTCATTAAAAATATCTTCATTGAACTGTGTGACATGAGTCTATTTACACTAACTCCGCCCACCAATGTCCGATTGGGCTAGTCAGCACTGAACAAAGACGCTAATCAGACGTCAGTTTCAGTTGCGTAGATGGTAAGGCACGTGCTTTTTGACACGAGTTCGAACCCACCTTTTGCCAAACGTTTTTTCTCCCTTTTCAAATCTCATATCGCATCGGAAAGGCATTTATTTTCAGCAAAAATTAAGGAAGGGAGGGTTTTATTGTCCCAATAAGGGGGCATCCATTTAATAATTTGAATTAAAATGATAATTTACACTCAATACATTATTATTGCGTACTGTTTTATAATGTACTACAATACTGAGGTGCAGATAATCGCTACTATTTGCAACAAGTAGTATAAATAGCAGAAAATCTTGCTGTTTTAACATAGTGTAAATAGAATCTATAGCTATTAGCACTTTTGGTGCGCACCTGGGTTCGATTGACATTGAATGCGGTTTTCCAAACTCGGGTGCGCACCCGCGAACCGTACCCGAGTCCGCTTAAAAGGGGTGGTCTGGGGTACGGTTCAGGTGAACTCCGGTACGGTTCGCTGCTGATGTGAACGCAGTCGTACCAAATCGCGGAAGTTTCGGACCCAAATAAAATAATATGAACGCAGTCCAGCGGGGGCAGGGGGAGGGGGGAGCAATCGAACTCTGGTTCGGACCAGGCAAGCGAACCAAGTGTGAAAGCACCCTTAGTGTAAATAGCATGTCGTTAAAAAATACTGCTAGTTTCACTTAGTGTAAATAGAATCTATAGCTATTTACACTTAGTGCAAATAGCCGCTGCCTTATTTTTATTTTAACTCTACAATCTACCTGCCACCACTGATTTTATTTAAAAATCCGCTCAATATAAAAGCACCTTTTGAAGCCGTTTAATTTCCCGTTTTTATTAACGAAGTCAGAGGGATCGAGCGGGGACACGTCTGGCTGCTGTCTGATGCAATAGGTCTGTAAGGTCTGTAGAGACAATGGCTGGTGAACGGGAACTGGCATTTACAAGACAAATCCAGATGCTCTTGGAGCTTTTTGCTTATTGAGTGGTTGTTTTCTCAGGTCTGAATATGAGGTGAAAGAGGAGGAGGAGAAGAGTGTGGAGCTCCTGGAGGAAGAGAGCTGGTTTGTGGGGGATCTCGGTCGACGGCAGGCAGAGGAGCTTCTCCAGGGGAAGCCGTCTGGAGCTTTCCTCATCCGCAACAGCAGCACCAAGGACTGTTACGCCTGCTCTGTGGTGTAAGTCATCAGTCAGCGGTGTTTTATCATGTGTTTAATCACACGAGAACTGAAATGCATTCCTGTTTGCTTGTTTGTATGTTCCATAACTTCACTGGCATCTTCAGAGGCTATAGTCTCATGTAGGGAGACATTTGATGATTTGTGTGAAGTAGGGCTGTGCGATATGGACAAAAAAAACCTATCGCGATTTCTTTGGTCAATTTTGCGATTTCGATTTTAATCACGATTTTGACACGCACAGACATGCTCTACAGTCATAAGACTCATTTTGCTTTCGCACAGGACGCGCTGATCCGCGGCTGTTTACCACAAACACAACATTTATCCATTATTTTGATTTCAAATCCAAACGTTGTTTCTGAAAATGCTTTCTCAGCATTGTGATTCTCTTTTATCACAGTACAGTAATACAATCTTTCATAGACATATTCACGTTTAAACTCAATAAATATAACTTTGTTTAGCTACCACCACGAGTGCCATCTGTTATTGCCTTGTTTATCTAAAAGTGCACTTTTCCTTGTTTTAAATCTAGCCAAAAAGCCATGTGTTGACTGTGAAACAGTAGACTTTAATTATATGCATTTATGGTGTAATTATTAAATTTCCGTGCCAATCCATGTTAATTTTTACCGCGAATAATGCGCTGTAACTTTCAGCGCGTGCAGCACAGCAGAAATAGATTCCGTGTGGAAACAATCGCATCATGACCGCTGCAGACGCACCGCTCCTGGAGCGCACTGCCGGACCGCAATCGTGTGCAGTGTGAACGCTCTGATCCGTTAACATGGGCGCGGAAAAAATACGCACCACAGACAGAGTTGTGTGAACCTGCCGTTACGTTTGTATGCCCACCCGGTCTGTTCTGTTCACGTGCTCCATTTAGGCGCGCTGCATTCTGATTGGTTCGGAAAGCATACTGCGGGAGGTCGGGGGCATGGAAAATCGTGCTATAAAGCGATTTAGAAATCGCGCAAGCTCAAATCGCGATTTTATGACGATTTCCATTAATCGCACAGCCCTAGTGTGAAGTCTGCTCCACGTTGCATCCTATTCTGGCCACTTAGACTGGAGTAAAACGACCGATTGCATTATGTGACGATTGTTGAGTTCCACTTCAATGAACCGATTCGTTTAATCGAACAGATTCACAATATTAATCAACCTTAAAGAGCTAGTTCACCCAGAAATGAAATTCGGTCATTTACTCACCCTCATATTCTGTCAAATCTGCATGACTTATTTTTTTCCGCAAAACACAGATGCTAAAATGATATTTCTTCATCAGTCACTGATTGTCCCTTCACTGTCAATTCTGCTCTGCTTTCTGCTATGATTAAAGAATTAAAAACGAAAACAGAAAGCATTTTTAGGTCTTTTCGATTCTGTTTTGGTTAGTTTTATAGCAATGCATGAGAGTTTCCGTTTTTAGTTTCAGCTCTCCTAGCCCTGCTCTTATCTCTGCATCCACAGGGTCGGCAGCCAGGTGAGGCACTGCGTGATTCGCCATACGGAGCGCGGCTTCGGGTTCGTCGAACCGTTCGATCTCCACAAGTCTCTGAAGGATCTGGTCATGCACTACCATCACACCTCGCTGGCACAGCACAACCAGGCTCTGGACGTCCGGCTCGCGTATCCAGTCCACATGTCCAGCTGAATCCACTGGCCTCCTGCCGGAGATGATCTGCACTAAGACTGAAGGAGACTTCGCCCTAGTTGGCGCGCGTCCCTTGATTTTAGCATTTGAACAGTGTACATGTGCAAAGATCGGAAGCGACTGTCAAGCGGTTTGTTTGTATATTGCACTTCCCAAAGCATTCCTCACGGTCATAAAGATACTCCAGTACTTGAACAAGTGTTGAATGAGCCCTTTGTAGACATGTTTACAGACACTCACAAAAACGTCAGAATTCGTTTTTAAGGGTTTCGTAATACAGTCATGCTCTTTTAAGCAAACAGATGCAGTAGTAGTTTTTGTGGGGATGAATGATTATAATCTTTTTATTATAATTCATTCATTCATCACCGAAAACATTTAAAAAATGTATCTTGTGAATGTAACACCGTTATTGAAAGACACACTTTCAAATCTTGCTTTATAACTAAAACAAGATGCCTGCCGTTCATGTTCTTTTTCGCACCTAAGTTTTTGACTCATGATTTATTTGTTCCAGAGAAACATCTTGAAAACTGGTTGAATTACATCTTAAAGACAGCTTGAATATTTTGTGCACAATGCAAGTATCCATTTTTGCACCTGTTAAAGAGAAACAGGAAATGTATTTGTTGAATTTACGTTTCTGGCATACTTCTAATGTTTACCTTTTTTTACTATGCTTTTTTTTTTTTTTTTGGGAAAGCCAG